AGTTCTGGTAAAAGAACCTTTGTAAAGGTAGGAATCTACCCTTGTATCTCTAGCTTTAGAAGTTACTTACCTGTGGTTTTGTTTCCCTATGTATGACAAGAACACAATGAAGAGACTTAAGAGAGTGTGTTTAAGTAAAAAGAAAACCCTCCTATTTTTAATATATATATTGAAAGATATATATACTTTGAAAGATACAAATTATATATATTTATAAACACAAATCATATAAATGTATATGGATACATATATAATTGCTATGTATAATTGTATAATATAATTTATGTATATAAAAAATCATAATTGGTATACTTTACCTTTTGAGAATGCAAACTACCAAGTGTGTGAACTGGGACTACTCATACTCCCACCAGAATCCCAAAACCATTCTTTAAGTAAAAGCAGTGCAAGTTCTGCTTCACGCTGGAGAACAGTCAGTTCAGAACAAAAGTTTGAACTTTTCCAAGTAAGCCTGAAACATGCTTATTTACCAGAGTTTGCATCTTAATTTAAGACTCATTTAATTCAAGCTCAGAGGCATTTGCTCACCACTTTTAAACTTCAGAAAGCAGTAACCTAGCTAAGGAAGTTAGTATCATCTGTTCAGATCAAAAAGTTGCCAGTGAACAGCTGAGACTTAAATGTATACCCAGCATGCTTACACAGACACGAAAACGAATACTAGATGCAATTGGCTTCAGCTATGTTATGTATTTTTGCTTGTTCTTAAAGAATTTCTGGAAGACGTATTAAACAAAAAGCCTGAAATTAAAATCAACCAGGGAAAAATTAATCTTGTTGCCAAGAAGAACAGACTCAGGTTCCACGACAAACAGAGATACATATTCAAAATGAACTTTAAAAATGTTCCTAAATTCAACCAACACGATATAAAATGACAAATGTATATATTATACTCACCAATTATAAAACATTGCAGCAAGGACTAACTACACGCACACATGAGACAACTGGGAGCAGGATAGTGGACTAAATAAAGTCAAGCAATCTTGAAATCCACAGAAACTACACTTTCCCTGTATTAAAAGGGGGAACGAGGTATTCAGGGGGGTTTGGATTTTTTTTTCCTGAAAGAGAGAGATAAAAACCAAGGCAGCTTCTTGAAGTATCAGTAGGCTTAATGTAGATGCAGAATATTTACCAGAAAATTAAACCTACCTAAATCCTGAAGCACATGCTTTTATCAGAGACTCACCTATTTTCAGAAAGCTGACAACCACTTATAAATCCATTTTCACAAGAACACCGTAAGAATCCTTTGGATGCGCAATGCTCAGTATCCAGCATTTGCCACCAGCAGACACTGTTGTTAAACAAAATGGGAAGCAGCCTTCGAAAGCATCCAGACAGAAAAGTGAATCCTAGTCTCCCTGTAAATCCTGCAAAAATACATCTCATTCACTTGTGTGGATCTCTTTATTGCAGTTGACATGGGCTTGCCCAGGGGACTAACTTGTTGTTCCATAAAGATCCTTTAATAGGCACTACTGATGAAACATTTAATCCAAGCTCTGGTATCAAATGGCTCCTATTGCCAGTGACAGTGATAGAAAAATCTATTTGCCAATTAAATAACTGCATGCAAAGCTAGCACTGTTTATTATGCCTTTTAACATAGTTCAGCTGGTTTGGATCATATCCAGTGAGCTTCATATTTTACAAAAGCTGCATTCCATATAACTTATAAGTAACATGCTTTAAGCCTTTCAGTTTTTAAATATACCTTTACACTCTTGTTGTTATGAAGTGTTTGCTTGGGCAAGGGTATACATTTTACACACAAATGCCACTTACATCATTCAACTATACACATATATTGCTTTGGACCTCTCTCTGTTGATAATGAAATTATGATTTATACTTAGAATATACCACCATATTTCAGTTGTTGAAAAAAAAAAACCCAAAACACTTTAAATCTCGCTGTGTTTACTTTAAATGTGAAGGACGTACAATAGCTACTCAGTTTTTGTAAAACTAAGGGAATACATTTTGATCCCATGAGTCTAATAAAACTCCACATAAACATAACAATAAGGAAAGCTAAGATGAATAGTTGAGATGAACACTTAAGCCTGGACTTCATTTCGCTCGGAATTCTACAATGCCAAGAAACAAGAAAACAAGTGAAGGGGCAGTAATTAAAACGGATTTAAGATTAGAGGCAGCACTACATCCATCTGTGGAACACCATTAAAACAGGACACAGCCCTCGGTTTGACAAGGCTGTAATTTAACGAAGTACGTAAGGCTGTAAGCTGCAGCTCAGGGAAGCCATCTCCACTGACAGCAGCTTAAGCATATGCTTAACTTGAAATAACCAGGTCTTAACATGTGCTTTATGTCAACCATTAATACACATTTTGGGGACATAGACTGTACTTTGACTTCATTTTAGCGTGACACAAAAAAAAAAAAGAAACGAAGTCATGCTAATATGCATAACAGTACTGAATAAATACAGGATAAAAATACTGGCAATTGCAGAACATGCAGCTGAAATTAGTCCTTTTCCATAAATAATGAAAAAGACAAACTAAGAAGAGGGTTTTTTTTCTTTTAATCACAGGAAAGTTTATTTTTTTCCCTTGATCGTAAAAAAAAACCACCAAATGCAAGTCACTCACTCCTACTCCCCACTGCCATAAATTTAGTATAAATTCATTAAAAAATATACTTAATGTTTCAGAATGAACATTGATTCCTCTGCATTTTGCATTAAGATTTAAGTTACTGCTCCCAACGCCATTTGTAACTTTATAACTAACTCGTCAGGAGGAGTTGTAGATTTTACTGTACTGATTACTGGAGAAAATGTTTCCATCTTACTTTATCAGATTATCAAAACAGCAGATTTTAATTTATGGAAAGCGCTATTTCCATTTTCATATTTAAGCATTACTCATGGAAATTATGAATTGGAGTAACCCTTTTAAAGCGCATAGGCTAAAATCGCTGGGTAGGGAGCTCCACTTGAAGCGTTTCTGCGAGATAAAATAACTGATTAAAGTATGCTTGTGTACCACACGTTCATGAGAAAATAAACTGTAGCATTACCTTTGACTGCATTAAATTTAGCCTCTGAAGGCTAAATTTACTAGATGAAACCAACTTTTGTCTAGTAAATAAAGTTTATGTCATGTCATATTACAATATCTCTCTATACTATTTGTTTTTTTAAATGGGAAAAGATACAGATTGTCAGTGATTAAAAACTGCATTTGAGCCTCTTCCTTTATTTCTCCCTGCTGGGCAAAAAAATTTTTAATCACAAAAATCCCATCTCATATCCAACTTACTTACACTCAAATCCTAGCACAATCACTCTGCCGTATAAATGCCTTCTGAGCGGCCACAACTGGAACCCATTAGGTTTGCAACTGATCAGAGGCTTTTTGTGAAGGATATGAGAAGACAGCAGGACCTGCAGAAACACTGAGACCTCAGTCCTGAAAACATGTTTTGGAGGGGTTCACAGTAAGCATGTGAGTGCCACCTCTGAGAGCTTGCAGGTGCTCTCAGGTGCTGCCTCCCCTACACTGGGACACAGCCGGAGCACACAAGCTGCGGGAAAAATGATTTCTTAACTTCCCCAAAAAAATAACTTTTTCTTAGATTCTTTTTTGCCTGTTTTTCATAAAACATCTTTGTGATAAATATTCATCAAAATCTCACTGAACATTTTAGACTTTTTAGCACATTTCTTAAACCAGCTCAGCTCCGACATGCATTCAGCAAACATTTTGGGCATTTCTTATCTGTTGCTTCCAAAGTTTCTCTTTTCAATCAACATTAGAAATCATGAAGTCTTTTTATTTAATTCTCCTAGGATTCTGATCTCTAACATCTACAAATAAACTCATTTATTAGTGTATAAAATATCTTCAAATGTGCCAAACCTATCTGAATAAATATGCTTCAATGTAAGTAGCAATGCATAAACTTTTCTTTCTTTTTTCTTTTTTGATGTATCACAATGAATACATTTGCTTTAACATCTATTCTCTTGATCAGTCATTTTGAGGTGGTCCACTTTTGTTTTCCCGACTTTCACAAACATGCTTGCAGCCAGTAAGAGACTCTTCACTATGATTAATGGCCTCCCATTGGGTATACAGAAAATTTCCCAGCCTGGTTCCCTTGAGAATGCTCCACTACATGGATTTCTACGCAAAGCTAGATTAAAAGAGGAGGAGCAATAGCTATAGTCCACCTACCCCACAGCCATCAATTATATACAGTAATAAATCAAAGTTTTCAGCCAGAACAAAGCCTAGTGTGGCAAACAAACAAGGGCGTTCACAGCAAATTGTTTTGAAGCAGAATAAAACTCTTGATAGAAATAATGGGGCAAGCAAAGCCACTGTCCATATCACTATAAAGTTCTGTTGATTTATTAAGAATTAGACACAGTGTATCCAATTACTGCTGAATTAACTTAAACAGAGAGCAGTAAGTAGAAAAATAAGCAAGAAGATGGATTTCTCTTTTGAAAGGAAAAAATCATGCAATTCTATATCACAGTTAATTGAAGACAGTAACGTGAACCATAAAGTATCTGTACTTTAACTCCCTATATTTGTGTTTCTTGGCTTTTGGTTTTTAGCTCTCTCTTTCATGAAACACTGGAATGTCTATCTCATCCATATTTCATCTCCAGTCTGTTTGTTTTCCTGGCTGTTTCTGCCTCTGTGCCATAGATGATTTTGATCGGTTTGGATATTTTTAAATACCCTTCACACACAATCTGCTTTCAAACAAGATAGTAGAAAAAAACACTAGGGGACATGGAGACAAAAGACTTAGCATCGCTCCTCACACATCTCTTCCCTTCTGAACAATGAGAATAATCTGCAAGGGGTCAGGTCCCTCTTCCTTCAGATATTTAAAATTCCACTTTTTGATACAGAACAATTTTTGGAAAGCCAAGGAATATAGCATTAGTCAAAACGCAAGTACGCTGCACCCAAAAAATACAGTTGATATTTGCTACTACGCCCAGTCCTCACTGCGGAACATATTACACATAGACTGGGTCTCTCTGAAGAAACAGATGTCAAGCAAAGGGCTCAGTAATTTCATCAAGACTTTCAATTTCTCAGATGTTTGTGAAAAATTAACTTTCGCCAGCTCTGACCAATGTTGTACAGCAAAAGGCAAGTGTCTCCAGGACAACTCCACCTTCCCATGAGACAAACCATGTCCTACACCATGCTTTCCCCAGTCCTTCCTTGCACTACAGTCCTCCAGCTTCCAATAGGTGTGAGTGCTCTGAATTCAGAGGAAGATGGGAGTTTCTGTGCCAGATACTGCACCTCTGACCAAGTATGGTCACACATGAAATATGTCCGGACCTACATTAATGCATACACAAGCTCCTGCTTCTGGGAACCTACCTGATTTACTTGACAGGATTATCTTCAACCAAGAATAACAAGATTTGATATCCACAGGTTCATGATCCATATATTCATGTAGTGGACCTCTCTTCCTATGTATTTCTATACTAATAAAAAAGACAGCTCCCAAAATATGTAAAAACACACAGAAAAGGGGTATTATTCTTTCCCAGTTTCTGACATTAAATTCTGTTTTTTCTCAAACAGTAATATGAGCTTAAGGAAAACATTTATTCCTGAATAATTTCAATGCTTACAGTTAATAATACTCTCACACCAAATAAGTGCTTTGCAATTTCATCTTCCTTGTGGCCTTTACATTAAGCAACACATGCAGGGCACCACTGATTCCATTTTCCACTTCGTGTAGCTCTTTGGGAATAACGTATATCTTACATGGTCCTCAAAATTCTGGAATTACTAACCCATGACACTCCGACATGAAGAAGGTCCACGAGCCCTATTGCACTAGCCTGCACTGAGAGGAGACGCCACAGCTGGTGCCCTCCCTGTGAAATTTGGCTGGAATAAGTGTTAAAGACATGCAAAAAACCGCCACTGTTTTCCCAGTCTTAACTGGATGACACTGAAACTGTTGAGTCTGATGTTTCACCTATTTTTTCCTGTTTCACTAATTTTTCCTGTCACTTTCACAAAGCCTCCCATAAGTAGTCCTGTACAATCCCAAAATACTCTTCCTGTGAACCCCTTTAAGCATCCCACATCCAAGGCAGGAGCTCCCATCAAGTGCCACAGCTGCTCTAGCACTGACTTATCCTGACGTATGTCACAGCTGGATCACAGGGCTGAGCGCTCTCCTGGGAAAACCCAGGGAGGTGCCCACACAGGGTGTCCCTTCCTCCAAGTCTGTAATTTGGGTTCCCACCTGCCCTTGTGCCCTTGACCTACTCTGGGCTTGTGCAGATGGGCCTCTGATGGGCTGAGGACTCCTAGAATGGGCCTGGGAGCAGCTGGGGCAGGGTATTATTTGAGCTCTACTCTCACCACTGTCTCTCAGTGCTCCCTTGTGAGCAAGCAGACCAGCTTTTATCACATAAGTTAATAAGTGGTAACCAGATTCATGCTTACCCTCTTCAGGAACATACTCCAAAACACACTGCCCAATGAGATTAATTTGATTTTCTTGCCCCTCTAAACCCAGAGAAAGTACATAGCAACAAATCTACTTACATACCTAAAAGTTTGCAAAATCAGGGTCCTGTTCTCCTTAAAGTATTTTCCCATTAGGGAATTCCATAATCAAGGATCATAGCCACTCACAAAACCTCTACAATGACAATTTAAGAGGTGCACATGTGCATACTCCATTTAGGTAAAAAAAATAAAAACCCTCATGAATAAGTAGATTCCAAGTGATTGTGGGATACAAAGTGAAAAATACGATCAAAAAATGCTAATGTACCAACTTCTAAGATGATATACTATGCACATCCAACTCCCCTTAAATCAACTTTATGTCTAAATTACATGAAGTTGTTGTAGAGGTAAAATACTGTTAATATTAAAGAAGACATCAATAACGGGTATGATTTAACACACTTAGGAATAGTTTAAGAACTACATGTACTACTGCTTTATTTCTCCCTTTCTCCCAAACTTCTCCCTCCTTCCCTGTATCATATGACACACACCCCTATTTCACCTTGTACTTTGGACAGTATGTTCCTTAAGGAAAATAACAACATAGCATTTTGCTTGTAGAAAAAGCCATGGCAAGGTCGGAGCTGCCAGAAGCTTGCAGCTGTTTCTGGTATGTTTTAAACATTAAGAATAGAAAGCAACATTGCTTTCATAGTTAGTGGTATTTGTGTGTTTAAAATGAAACACAAGGTCTACCTGATTACAGCTAATGCGTGAATGCAGTCAAGGTGCTCTCTGGGAAGAAGAGAAATGGTGAGCCTGACGCAAATGTGATTTGGAAAAAGGGCTGGGTGGAGGAAAAGGTTGTGGTTTCTTAAAGAGCTGAATGTGTAATCCTCCAGACAGACTTGCAGCAAGGTGCAAGGAAACTGCAAAAAAATGCACAGCAGCAACTGAAGTGCGACAGCAAACAATTACCTCTTTGCTTTAAGGCTCATCCTGTAGCTCTTCTGGCAGGAGGGTACCCCGCATCTTCCTGGTTAGGTGTGTAGTGCAGGAGCTCCAGAAAGAAGCCTGAGACAGCAGATACAGATAGCTCAAGCTGTTAAGTCCCTTTCACTGAATTGATAAACCAGCAAGATCTGGCTTTTAAGAACAGAAGGTGGACAGAGACACTTAACTTGTCATTGAAAATGATAGTCATATTTTGATTAGGTTTATTTACAAATTATTGTGGAAAAGAAATAAAAGCACAGATGGAGAGAAACCTTCTTTTCAGTCACTAGATCAAGTTATGCCTGAACCCCATACTTTTAAGATGAACATTATCTGTAGTTGCAAAATGACTTTCTGAAGGGGTCAGAAATTCAAACACAGCACCTACCTCATCAAGAGAGCAAATCAAAAAGCCCAGCCTAAAAGCCTTTTTTTTTTTTTGTATATATATTACTCATTTTAGAATGTTTATTTCATCCACATTTACCACAGTTCATTTCAGCCGAACAGAACCCCCATGTTCATGATTTTTGCCTACAAGAATATTAAATTTCTGCGCATCTGTCTTCTCTCTAGGGGTTTCTCTAGGGAATATAATAGTCTATTTGGTTTTCTATTGATCTTGTACCTAAATACTGTTTTCTCCCTTTCAGAAAAAAAAAAGGGATTTGCCAAAGAATCAGTAGTGCCACTATAAAAACGTTTTTCTTAGCTGGATGAAATGATGGCAGAGCAAGATTGGGAAAAATATTTTTCAAATCTGTTTTAATAAGCGTGCATCCAGATAGGGATATGCTAGATATCGGTCTAGGCATGCCCCAGGCCTATGATCCATCTTTCATCCATTTTTCCAATTTCAGACTGACAGCTAAATTAGCTCATGGAAAAGGCTCCTGTAGGCAATAACCAATAACCTGCCATCCAAGGTAAGTTGCAACAGCAAGAGGCATAGGAGAAAAAAATGGAGATAGAAGGCTGCATTTACATCAGTTGGTAAGGAAAAAATTGAGATACAAAAAGGATCAAAATCATAAAAACTTAAACAAAATTAAGCCACACTGGAAAGAGAAATATAAATTGTGATTTAATTTTATGCAATAGGCATAAACTGACCTCTTAAGACATGATTGGCAGTCTTGGAGTTTCTGTATTTAGCAAATCCAGTAAGTTTACATATATACAACTGCAAACGGAATAGCTTTCTCTACCTATAATATCTAGGCTCAGTACCACCTAGTTACTGAGTTGTGTTCATCAGAAAAGGAAGACAATATCTATTCATAAAAGCAAGGCATCAACAACCTTTTGAATCACAACACTCATTTTCTTTTCAGGCAAAATAAAATCCTCAGCATGGGAGTGTTCACATTACAGTGCTAATAGTGCACATGTGCTAAATTATTTAAAAAATAATAAAGATAGGCGGAATGACATATCCACAAAGCAGTCAGTTTACTAACTGCAATTGCACAGCATCTATCTGACTGAGTAACCTGAGCTTATTGAAGCTGATATTTAACATATATCTCTCCATGAAAATAACTAACTCAAACATTTAGAACAAATTCTTTCTGGAATGGGCTTAGCTACATGTGAACTTGCGTTTTATTTGCATTTTTGTGTTTTTTCCATCATGCTCTGTAGTAGGTGAATTGCAGGTTAAAACCAATGACTTTGATACACTTCATGACTTTTCTCATGGTAGAAATCTCCCCTAATGTTGTTTACGCTATCATGTAACATTAGCAATGATATTTACAATTATCATTCAAAATATGCTGCAGTACCCTGTTAAACACTGTTATCATTTATTTCTTCCATTTTCTTTGTCTACATGTATTAGATTTTCAACAGATAATGCAACAAATCCAAAATGCTGACACAGATCTTTGCAAAAACTCCTTTTTTGTGTAGTGGGACACCACAAAACATGACAAACCCATCAACCAGTGTGATGGTGTGACGGGTATTTTGTTGCTCACTGCAGCTGGGTATCTGCGTTTGAAAAGCATGCTTAAATTAAAGATGCAAAGAAATGCCTGGGGTTTCATTGCATTGCAAATGTAAAGAAAGACTGATTTTCTTCAAAGGAGGTTGATAATAACCTACAAACAGCAGGTATTTTCTGCTAGCAGCATGTAGCTGGCATGTCATGGCTAGTACATCTTTAATCATAATAATGAGTTCTGTGGTAATCATGATAAAGTATGTTTTAACTGTCAATGTTTTTACCTGCCATTGCTACTCTCTACTGAGAATTAGCTGACTTTTCTTCTTTCTGAGCTCCCCCAGCCCTAGCAGTGCATCTCATTGAGGCAGCTGTACCATTAGCCAGGCTGCTACTTTAAAAGTTTTGCTTATTGCCAGCATTTAACTCTTAAATATCAGTTTAGTACTATGAAATTCACCTAACTGCTTGGCACAAGGAATACACATACAAATAACTGAATAGTCTGGAAAACTAAGGGAAATTGCAACTTCTTTTCCTGCAACA